CCTGGAACAACTGGTTTCCTTTAAGGAAGGTACTTTTCCGGAAAACATGTTATTTCAAGGCCTCCTAGATTCCGGAATAAAGCCTGTCCCAGTGAGAAACGCCACCCGGGTTTCAGGTCCAGGAATGCAGAGAAAGAGCAGGGTGAGGGTTGGAGGTGGAGGACGGGGGGCAGCGGGGTGGGGCAGACCTCTTTCCCTTGACCGCTCCTCACAGCTGTGTTCCCAGGATCTTCACTCTCACACATCCTCTAGACAAGCCAGGATGGGATTCTCATCTTCTCCATACAGCCAGGGAAACTGAAGCCCAGCAAATGAGTGGCAGAGGTGGGGATTAGCCTTTCCAGGTCCCCGTGGGGGCTGGGATGGGACTGAGCAGGGTTCTCCCTGCCCTTTGCCCCATGTAGAGCTGACAGAAGCCCCAGGAGGTGAAGGGGAAGCAAGACCCGTTGCTCAGAGAGGCACGACCTGTATCTCTGCAGGTGCAAAGCCTTAGGAAGGCCTTAAGCAGGCTGGGTCAGGACTGATGTCTGTCAACCCTTAATTCCAGCCCTCCACAGAAGTTTACTCTATGGTGGAGGCTTCCTGAACTGTCCATTAGAACTGTAGAGGGCAAAGACCTGCTTCTTCTTCAAGTCAAAGATGCAGACGGGGCCGGACGTGGTGGCTTACACCTGTAATCCCAGCATTTTGGGAGGCCAAGGCCAGTGGATCACTTGAGGCCAGGAGTTTGACACCAGCCTGGTCAACATGGTGAAATCCCGACTCTGAAAAAAAAAATACAAAATTAGCCAGGGGCAGTTGTGTGCACCTTTAATCCCAGCTACTCAGGAGGCTGAGGCACGAGAATCGCTGGAACCCGGGAGGCAGAGGTTGCAGTGAGCTGAGATCGTACCATTGCACTACAGCCTGGGCAACAGAACCAGACTCTGTCTCAAAAAAAAAAAAAAAAAAAAAGCAGATGGGTAGGTGCCAGCAAGGCTTTTGCTCAGGTGAACCTGGGGCAAATCAGATCCCCTGGCTCCCTTCCTCCTGAAGATATGAACAGGGCCCCTGAGAATTGGCTGGGTGCAGATATCACTTATGGAGGAAAATGACAGCTTAGCATTGTTCTGCAGATTTGGTATTCGCCCAAAGTGGCTCACAGCGTGGGGGCTCGGTTCCCTCATCTGTAAAATGGAGTTGCTGTAAACACTCATGAGAGGACACAGAGGAAGCATGATGTGCCTGATGTGTCATAAAAGTCCAGTAAATGGGCCAGGCGCGGTGGTTCACGCCTGTAATCCCAGCACTTTGGCAGGCCGAGGCAGGAGGATCACGAGGTCAGGAGATCGAGATCATCCTGGCTAACACGGTGAAACCCTGTCTCTACTAATACAAAAAGTTAGCCGGGCGTGGTGGCGGGCGCCTGTAGTCCCAGCTACTCGGGAGGCTGAGACAGGAGAATGGCGTGAACCCGGAGGCGGAGCTTGCAGTGAGCCGAGATCGCGCCACTGCACTCCAGCCTGGGGGACAGAGCCAGACTCTGTCTCAATAAATAAATAAATAAATAAATAAATAAATAAATAAGTCAGTCAGTCCAGTAAATGGAACCAGCAAGAGAAGTAGAATGAATGGAGAGAACGCTCGGTTTGGAAGCTGGGAGGCCTGAGTGCAAGTGTGGCTCCGCCCCAGATTCCAGGGTGACCTTGCACAGCTGCTTCCCTCACTGCCGCCAGATAAGCACTCCTGGCTTTGCTGCATGTTGGCGCCAGCCTCAGTCTTGTCCCTGCCGGCCACCTCCTGCCCTTGGGGACAGTAGAAGAGGCCACTGTCACAGAGAGAGGCTTCCGCTGCCCTGTTGCTGGGCCCCTCCCACTTCTTACACAGCAGGCTGCACTGGGGAGAATGGCAGGAGTACCTGGGACCAACAGACACCACAGCATACAAAAATACACACACACTCACTACACACAAACAGCTTACACACACACCACAGCATACAAAAATACACACACTCGCTACACACATACAGCTTATATACACACCACAGCATACAAAAACACACACACTACACACATACAGCTTACACACACACCACAGCATACAAAAATACACACACTCACTACACACATACAGCTTACACACCACATACACATCATACACACTCAAAACACACTACACACATAGAACACACACATCTTACACATATATACCATATACACACTTATACCATATACACACCACATACACTCATGCAAAACACACTAACATACAGAACACACACACTACACATATACACCTTACACACACACCACACATATCACATACCACACACACCACAACATGCACTCACACTACACACACTACACACAGTTTATGCACACACCACACACACACACCACATGCACATCTGGTGTGAACGTGTGTGGGGGGCTGCCCACTTCCCTCCACTCAAAGCGTCCTCATCACTGTCACCCCTCATGCTGCAAAGCGCAGGAGCCTCATCTCAGCTCCCCTGTCCAGCCCCCTGTGCTCTTGCCCTGCAGGTCCGCTCTCTCCGAACCCTCTCCCCCTCCATAGGGTTGCCAGATAAAATGCAGGGTGCCCAGTTATACTTGAATTTCAGATAGACAATGAACAATGTTTTAGTGTAACTATGACCCAAATGTTGCATGGGACATATTTATACTAAAACAAATTTGTTACCTGTCTGAAATTCCAATTTAACTGGATGTCCTGTCTTTTCATTTGCCAAATCTGGCAACCCCACACCCCCAGTTCTCTGCTCCCCACTCTCCCCACCTTCCTGTCTCAACTCCTGTTGCTTTTCCTCGGTCCCTCTCTTTGTCAGCCCATTCCAGGGTGCTGGCCTTGGCAACCCTCTTTTTTCAAACTCCTGCTCTCCTGGGACGGCTTCTTCCACCCCTTGGATCCACCTCCACGTGGGGCTGGCCTCACTAGCATCCTCCAAGGATCTTCTCTCCAGCTCCGGATACAGGAGCCGCCCTCCCTGCAGCGACAGCATGTTGCCGCACTGCAAGTGCCTCCAGAGGCTGGGCCTGCCAGCCTGGCAAGCAAGGCTGCATCTCTGCTGCCTGCGTCATCCACTGCCCGGAAACATGCTGGCCAGGTGTGGCCAGAAGCACTTCCCCGGGAGCCGGCTCTTGTCCAGCCTCATCTCCTTGTGCCTGGCCAAGCTGAACTGCTGACCTCCTTCCCCCACATGCGCTCAGAACCCCCATTCATGCTGTTCCCCCTGCCCGCAGTACCTCCCCCAAATTCTGCTTTCTGAAGTCCCCTCTCTTCTCCAAGTCCAGCTCACAAGGCCTCCTCCTCCCAGCTCCGCTTCCTTCCCCGAGCACCTACAGTGTGTTATCTGCAGGCTTATCTAGGTGTCCACGGGGTCCAAATGTCTGGTTGACCCCCACGTTCCCTTGGCAGGGCTGGGTACACAGTCAGTGTCCAGGCAGTGTTTACTGAATGGAGGAGTGAATGAATACGTGAATGAATGCATGGGTAAGTAAGGCGGCATCTACTCCAGGAGGAGACGGATGGGTGGGTGGATGCGTGGGCAGATGGGCAAGTGAACAAATGAAGAGCATGCCGGGCTTGGCAGACAGCCTTCTCCTGCAGAGGGAAGCCAGGCTCCCTCCCCATGCCCACTTCATCAGCACTTTGTTTCCACGGCCCTGTGATTCTAGCCTGCAGACCCTCCCAGACCGACGTAGTGAGCGTTGTGACCACACAGTACAAGAGCAGAGCCCTGGGCCTGGCTCCTGGTGAAGGGTGCCTGAGCTGGAGCAGAGCTGACTCTGGCTGAGGAGAGGGGGAGACTGAGGCCCACTCTTCTCCCTTCCAGATCTTGCACAGCCGTCTCTCCCATCATGAATCTCCTGTGCCCAGGTTTTTCTTTGTGTCTGGACACACTCACCCACCTCTGACCAGTCCAGGTTCTTCCAAGAACAGGACCCCACTGAGTTCCTATGGAGATGTGCTGCCCAGGTCCCCTTTAAAGGAAGGACTTCGGCCAAATGCAATGGCTCACACCTGTAACCCCAACATTTTGGGAGGCCAAGGTGGGAGGATCACTTGAGGCCAGGACAGTTCAAGACCAGGTTTGGAAACATAGTGAAATCCCATCTCTACAAGAAAAGGATTTTTTAATTAGCTAGGCATGGTGGCATGCACCTATAGTCCCAGCTACTCAGGAGGCTGATGTGGGAGGATTGATTGAGCCTGGAATTCGAGGCTGCAGTGAGCTATGATCACACCACTGCACTCTGGCCCAGGTGGCAGAGTGAGTGAGATCCCATCTCCTAAAATAAAATAAAAGAAATAATAATAATAAAATAGAAAGGAAGGACTTCGAGGCCTGCCTCAGCTGCAGAGAGCTGCCCTGGCTGAGGTTAGACCCTGGGGGAGGGGAGAAGGACTCAGAGATGGAGCAAAGCTGTGGAGATATTAAGGACCTGCATCACGGTTTGACTTCTTCCTCTACCCAATCTTGCTTCTTCCTTCTTCCCTTTAAAGGTGATAAATATCTTGCACTCAAACTTTGTCTAACTGTTGCTTTTAGAGAACACAGCCCTCAAAAGTTCTCTTCCCTCCATCTCCAGGGCCTCCCCACATGTGCCAGTTCCCTTCTCTGTGCATCTCTGAAGGCCCTGTGTGCAGGGCTGGCGTCAGGAGTGTCCAGAACATGGTCCCAGGACCTCCTGGACCTGGACTGAGCCCCGCCCACCATGCTCCTCCTCTTCCCTCTCTGTCAGCTTCACTCTCTCCCCGCCCCTTCCCACCCCCTGCCCCCACACCTCTCCAGCTCCAAGCCACTCTCTCTCAGAGCCCTTCCCGTGGCAGCCACATGGCAAGGGCAGCCTGTCTGAACACCCTTAGAGGCCAGAGCCCCCCTAAAGCTCAGTCCTGCCCTCCTCAACAAACAGGTCCTGGGAGAGCCATCTATTCAGGACTAGACACAGACATAAGAGCCAGGAGGCTCACAGTTTTGCACCCTTCAAACCAAATTCCTTAAATATAGTACAGCATTTATTCCATGGCCACGGGAGAATGGGTTTTCTGTTAATAAAAACTGAATATCTCCTTATTTGTGATGAAAACAAGAGCTCTGAATGTAACATAACATTTTAACTTGTCTGGAATTATCTTTCGGTTCCTGATTTTTCTGTCACTCTGAAGTGACACAAGTCATTCACATTCTCTAAGAATAGAAGTGACCTGTTGGAATATAGCAATAAAGTCTCATTAAAAATATGTTTAAAAAATCTTATTTCTGGCTTTCCTGTCAATAAAACATATTGTACTTTCTGTGGCTCTTATTTTCTGTTTCCTTTTGTGGTTTTTCAAATCAGATTTGGAAAGGCCCATAAAAGGATATACATTTTCAAATCGAAAGTAAATCACTTGTTCCCAGGAAGCACCTCTTTGGTTTCAGAATTTTAGGGCTGATTTCAGGCAACTGGCAGCAGGCCTCCAGGTTGGGTTCTGTGCAATGTGCAAAAGTAATCAATTGGGAGAGCAAGTAAGAAGCGGTTTCTAAAAATGGCCACTCGAGGGTGCTGCGTGCTCAGGTGGGAGTCATAGGCACACCGTTTACAATACATTCCAGTGATATTTCAGTGGCCGGTGTAGATCAGCAAAACCAGCCGACTGTGCAGTCCGGCGCTGTGTCTGTTCACTCACTCCTCAGACCCCTCCTAAGCCCCATCCTGTGGGTCGACCCTGGCTGGGCTGTCAGGGGTCCCAATAACAAGGATCCCCAAGCCTGGAGGGCAGAGAAGGCTGGAATGGGAGGAGACAGGAAGTTCACAGTACAGCAGGGGAAGGACAGGGAGAAGGCCCTGGGAGGAGGGGAAGGCCCAGGAAGGCCTGCTGAGGGGCGAGTGAGTCTGACCCATTGGCACAGCAAATCCTGGGGACTCAGGCCTCACATGAAGGTCCAGAAGTCCCGGGCACTCGGCACTGGCTGGGCATGGCGACCAGGCCCTGTGAAGAGAGAAGCCTCCTGGCGAAACGTGGCCACCGTGAAGCTGCGGCCAGGGCCCCCCTGAGGATCCTGGGCCCTCGAGTCACAGCTGAAGCAGCAGAGGACGCAGGTGATGGCCACAGTCACCACGAACAGCACCACCACCACCCCAATCACTGCCGTTTCCATGGCCCACTGAGCAACCTTAGGTCCTCTCAGAGCTTTCGCTCCCATCCAGAACAGGAGGCTCTTGGCGATCGCAGGTGCCCGGTGCTCCTCCGGCGGCTCTCCCTCTGTCTCCTAAGAAGATGCTGCTCCAAGTCCCTGGGTTGCTCCTGCTCCAGGCCATCAGGCACCGCCATGTGGCCCCACTGCGCAAAGCTCAAATCTCAGATGATCTCTGTCTATTTTCTAAGCCTCAGGCCAGGCCTCCAAGAGCTGTGGTCAGCTCCATGTCAGCTTCTAGAAGAAGCACTGTCCTGGAAGACGTGAGCACAGACTCCCTGGACACGGAGGAGGTGGAGAGGAGGGGTCAGAAGACGTCGCACAGAGACAGCCTAGCCAGCCCTGGCCCTCCCGTGACGCCTACGGATTTCAAGAGCAAGTTACACTCAGACCAAAGACAAAATACTCCCCCTACTGTGGATGCAGGAGTATCCCGGCTCCTCCCCAGGAGGGACCGTGGGCCAGTCCTTCAGTTGGCCTATTTGCTGCCTCCCCAGCCTGTGGGGGCAGGGACATGAGGAGGGAGGAAGGCATGCGCCAGCTCTGGGCAAGGCAGGGGACACTCACGGGTCACCCCAGGTGCCAGGGCCTTCAGCGGGGGCTGGAGGCAGGGGCAGGTTGCATTTGGCCTCCTTTTCTGCATGGCACTGGGATCATGCAGTTTAGATAGAGTATCGTGTTCTTCCCCGGGAATCCCTGCCCTGTCCATGACTGTGGGGCTGTTTACCCAGAGGTCCCGGAAGAGCCTTCTTAGGTGCTGGCTTCACCTGCCCTCTTTGCTGCCTGCTCAGCCCGTTGCTCACACTCTTGTACTATGAAGACTTACCCTGGGCTTCCCAAGGACCAGCCCTGGCTGTACCTGGTGCTGCGGCCTCCTGGACTGGTGGCTGTCCCAGGGACCTTGGCGTTTCTCCCTGGGTGCTGCAGCGTCCGTCCTACTTGGAACTTGGCTCCAAGATGTCTGAGCAACTGTGAGCACTTCCTGAATTCTTTCCTCCAATTGTGAGCGAGGGCCCAGGACCCACACTGCAGCTGTCCAACCCCCGCTCAGCAGTTATCCTGCCCCACCAGGCGCACCCCAGGCCATTTCCACCCTGCTCCCTGCCAGGAGGTCAGGGGAATAAGCTAGGCCCAGGCAACTGAGTTAGTCTGCCAGGTCAGAGCCCTTTCACACCCAACACCTCCTGAGACCCCCACCACTTCTAGAAAGGAGACTGGACTATTAGCCCCACTTTGTCCCTATTCTGGGAAACAGAGTCGTGAGAACAATAACTCCAGGCATGGGACCTCACCAGACATGATCTCATATAACCTCCCCAGCACCTCTGCATAGCGGTAGCAATACAGCCTCCATTTTATAGATAAAGATCCTGTGGTCATAGAGGTTACATGACCTGCCTGTAGCCCATTCTGAATTAGCCATGTTAACAGAAGTGAGCAGTGGCCGAGGAGGGACCGGCCTCCCTCCACTCCTAGCTCAGTGCACTTTCCAGTTACCGTGGGACCATAGAGCGACCATCTGATTCTGTGATTTTACTGATCTGGGTGCAAAGTGCCAGAAAGGGCAGAGGGCTGGCCCAAGTTCACACAGCCTGGGGCCTTTTCAGTTTCTCCAAGGCCCAAGGGAACTTGCTTTAGAACCAGTATTAGGAAACTGGCACTTTGCACAGAATGGGAGAGCAGCTTTTCAGAGCAAGCAATGGCCTGTCGTATTCTCAATCTGTCCCTTTTCTGAGATGATGAGACCAGCTGGGCCCTGGGCTCCTCCTCCACATGGAGCAGGCTGTGGGCTGCAACAGGAAGCCAGTTCCTTGGATTATTTGTATTAACTGGGATGGCCAGAAGAAAGGAGACGATGGGCAGATCTGCAGGGCCTGTGGTTTCAGATTGAGTTACCAACATCACCTCCTTAACTGGGGTGATAGAGGGCACCAGGGGACTATGCCTCAAGCTTGAACATTTGTTCCTTTGATTTCTCATCGCCTGTTCTTCCTATGTGCATGCAGCTGTAGGCCACCTGCAGATTGTCTGAGTGGTTCCTCATTTTTAAACTGGAATAAAGGCCGATTGCTCAGCGGGTTCTCTCCTGCCCTGCATAGGCTTCCTTTCCTATTTCCGGCTTTCAGGGAACCTCCTCTCCGTCTTTGATTCATCTGTGAAATCAGCCTGGAGATACTTGGGAAAGGGGCAGGGCTGCAGGGAGCAGCCAGAGGAGTCGTGGCAGGAATCCAGGAGGGGGATGGAGGGGGCTGGGCTAGGCAGGGCATGGGAATGGAGAAGGGGGTGGATTTGAAGGACACTGCAGAGAAAAATCAACACTGCACGGCAGCCTAGGGTCCACTTTCCCAACCCAGAAACCTAAGGTGGAGGAAATCAGTGTGAATTTGCCTCCTTCTCTCTCTCACACCCTCCTCCTCCAGCCCTCACAGAGAATCCACTGGGAAATAGAAAGGAAAGAGGACATTCTGTTCCCGTGAGTCACCAGGCCCCTGACTCTCTGGCCTGCTCTCCAGCCCCTCCCCACTGCCTCTCCTGGCCCCCAGTCCTCATCTCCCCCCACTTCCCACCTCATCTCACAGGCACAGGCTGAAGGCCTCAGAGCCAGACTTCCTCCCTCGCTGTGGATCCCACCAGCTGTTCACAGAGCATATTCCAACGAGCCTCCAGGCTTTGGCAAGGGGGCATCTCTGTTATCCAACCCATTTCAGAGAAGAGGACAGTGAGACCCCAGCATTCTCTCAAGGCCATCCAACACCTTGCACCCCAGCACCACAGACTCCACTTTAAAAAACTCCACTCGCTGCCTCCTAGCCCTCCCTCCACGCACAGGCACCAACTGGGGCAGGATGGCTGAAGACACAAGGCTTGGAGAAGAAACCCTGACCCAGTTACCAAGGAAAGTGGATTCAAGGCAGCTGGTGGATGGGGCTTCCTCAAGTTTCAGAGCTCAGTCTGCCCTGGACATGGGCTGAAAAGAGTACAGGGGCAGAGCCCTGGGAAGCGAGCCTCACAGCGGCTCCAACCTTCCTCTCCCCAAGGCCCTGGACTGTCCCATGGAAGGCCAGAGCCCTGCTGGTGCACACAGGACCTGCTGTGGACAGGGTTTTGTGCAAACCCTGAATCCTCCCTCAGAGCTCAGAAAGAGCCCACCCAATTCTTCCCACTCCACAACCAGCCCCTAAGACCCAGACAGAAGCTGCCTGCTCCAGGCACACACTTCCCATCAGAGAGGGAGGTCCCAGGGCAATGAGGACACAGGCCGGGCAGCTCCTGCCCTCCCGCTGCAATCAAGAGCCTCTTCACAAAAGCTTCTTAGTGGTTTTTATTTTCTTGGACTAAGGCACCGATGAATTGACTGTGCAGCCTCGTACTGCCTTCTCCAAACCAAAAGGACATTCTCAGGGCCTCTCCCAGTGCCCCGCCCGCCAGAGGCCTTTCAGCGGCCTGATGAGGAGGTCAAGACAGGCACTTCACATCCACTTGTGTGCTGGCTCTGCCAGGACACCCTTGTCACTTCTGGGGCTCACTGGTAGTTACAGTCACAAGGTGGGCTGTCCAGCCCCAAAAGAGCACCCTTACTCTCCACTCCCCAAACCCTTCAGCACTTCAGGCCCCAGTGTTCTTCAGTTCTCTGCAGTCATAGTACACTGGGGCATAGCATGCAAATGCCGCCAGAGCAAGCCCCAGGCCATTGTTCCCCTCATTCACCCCAGAGACGCATACTTCCACATGGAAACATGGGGTCCACTTGTCCTGGGAATGGATGGCAGGGCAGGGGCAGCTGCTGTCCATAGGCACCGGCGGCAGCAGCCTCAGCGAGCGTGGCGGGGGTGGTGGCGGTGAGGGTGGTGGTGGTGGTGGTGGTGGTGGTGGTGGTGGAGGTGGTGAGGGGTGTGGCGGGGGTGGTGGTGGTGGAGGCCCACATTCGGCACGTGAGATACGTGGCCAGGATGATGGTGATGGTGGAAGATTCCCAGGTGGCCCCGCCGCCGGAAGGGCCAAGGCTGGGCCCGGCGGACTCGGTTTCCCCCTGCAGCTATACGGTTCCTCTCCACGTCACAGTCCTGCCGTCCATGGAAAAGGCAAGTGGCCAACAGCAACAGTAGCAGCAGAACCGCCACAGCAGCGCCTGTGATCCATCCCACGAGGGCCGTGCTCCCCAGGAGGCCCAGCATCTGGGAGCCGGACAGTCCCTCTCTCCCCAGCAGCTCCTCACTCCTTTCTCTCCTTCAGCAGCCTCCGCTCAGCCCTCTCAGTCACTGAACTTTGTTGTCTCCGCTGCGGGCTGGAGAGCAGCCAGGGAATGTGGGCGAAGCCTGTTTGGACTTGCAACTGCTGGCCAAGGGTGAAGCCAGGCTGCTGTTAACTCTGAGGAGGCCTGGCAGGGAGGCCGGGTGGAGACAGAGGAGCTGTCAGAACGGATCTGGTTGAGGGAGGAGCCCTGAGTCTAGAGGAAAGAAATCCTCCTGCTCCCTGCCTCAGTGACTTTCCCTCTCCGGGTTTCAGTCTCCTCTCAGAGACTGTGTGGAACAGAGATGAACAACACGGGCTTTGGAGCCAGACAACTCACTTGCTGTGAGATTGTGAACAAGTTACTTAACCTCTCTGTCCTCTGTTTCCTCTTCTGTAAAATGGCTGCTAACACTTCCTTCCTTAATAGGGCGTTCTGAGGACTAAAGGAGTTGAGATGCATAAATCAGCAACACCAGCTCCTGCACACGTTTGCCATTGATATTACTGCAATGGACTCCATGGCTCAGGAGACATTGTCATCTGAGAGTCTGTGATTCCCTGTCCTGCAGCCTGCAGAGCCCTCCGGGGCTGAGTCAGGCTCTGTCAGATGAGCCATCCTGAGCTCAGTGAGCTTGAGAAGCTCAGGGAGGCACGGCAGGCAGATTTTGCCATCCAGGGAGGTCCTCCATCCGGCTTGTGCTGGGAGGCAGGAGGGTCTGGGTGTCCGCCCAAGTTTGCTGGGAGGCAAGAAGGAGGCCACTGAGCTCAGAGAGGGCAGGCACAGGCCCAGCCTCCTGGTTCCCAGTTCAGCAATCTCAACTGGCCATAAATGGCATGCTCCTTGCTCTGTCACACCCCCCCTGCCCAGCAGTGGTGAGTGCCATTCCTACCTAGTGGAGCATTTACAGAGCGGCAGGATCTGAGGGGGCCCAGATCCTCTGTGTTCCTCCTGGGAGGCGCCGCCCCATCCTGCTGACAGGCCTCAGCCACAGGTGCTCATTGTCTCTCTGGCAACCCTTTCTGCTGTGGGCATGCTGGGCTGTTCTCCAAGCCCTTCCTCACATGCAGCGGGGCTCCCCAAAGCCCCAGCTCTGTGTCTGGCTCTGCAGGGTCCCTCCAGGCTGAGTCCCCAGCCCCTCCCTCCAGGCTCACTTCCCCGCCGCCGCCTGGAGGAATGTCTGCAGACACCGCAGGGCTGGTTCTCTGAGTTCTGGCAGCACCTCCACCCTGTGATGTTGGGCAAACCCCTCGCCCTGACCCAGCCTGTCTCCTCTGCAGAACTCCCAGGGCAAGAAGTGACCTCCAGGGACCCTTCCCCCTCTGACCTCAATCTGAGGTGAGTTCTCTCAGGGAGGCCTGAAACCCTTAATGAAAACCCTCAGCAGATGAAAAGGCTAAACATTCCCTTCAACCAAATTGGGCTCAGGGGGCAGCAGGTTTAATGAATCCTGGCACTTCTTTGGTCCTTGGGGGAGCCACTTGAACTTTTAATGATGCTGGAATAAGAACTCCTCCTGCAGACTCCTGGGGCCCTGGGAGCCTGGCTGCCTTCCCTAGGGAAGTTAAGCAGGGAAGTCTGCTGTGAGGAGGAGGAGGAAGCCAAACAGGGGATTTTCGTCCTCAGAACTTCTCCAAGAAGACTCCCACCCCACACCAGCCGCTGGCGGTGGGGCAAGACCTTACAACTATGAACCTGAAGAACTTCAATCAGCAAAAAGGGCCCCTTGGAATCACCCAGACCTAGCCTTCACTGACAGATGGAGAACTGAGGCCAGAGAAGGGAAAGATTTCCCTAAGTTCCCCCGGCTTTGTATGCTAATCTACACAGCAGGTACTCAACAGAGTACTGTCCCTGCAGTGAGGGAGCCGTCCAGAGTGAGAGCCCGAGATCAGCAGGGCCTTCCACAGAGACAGTTGGAAGATGAGGTGGAGATGCGAATAAACCTGGAGGGCGCAGGGGTTGGGGGGCCCCCTAACACATACACATACACATGACATCTGTTTCATTAGGTGCAGGTTCACTCCCCATCTGGGTAGTAGGATCCCAAAGTGAACATTTGATTAGATGCTTTGGGCACTCGTGGGGGCAATGAGGGACAGCCATCGAGAATACAGTCCTCCGTGACTTAACCCATTTATGCCTAAGGTTACAATTTTTTGAATTTTTGCAATCAGACCTTGGCAATGACCTTGATCAGTAGGATAAAAATAACTCCCACATGCTTAGCATTCCAATAATGGAACACCAGGCATAAATGTTAAGAAGTGACACAGCCAGGTGCAGTAGCCTGTAATCACGGCATTTGGGGAGGCGGAGGGGGGTGGATCATTTGAGCCCAGGAGTTCAAGACCAGCCTGGGCAACATGGCAAAACCCTGTCTCTTTAAAAATTACAAAAGATTAGCTGAGCATAGTGGCACATGTCTATAATCCCAGCTATTCAGGAGGCTGGGGCAGGAGGATTGCTTGCGCCTGGGCAGTTGAGACAGCAGTGAACCGAGATCATACCACTGTGCTCCAGCCTGGGCAACAAAGCAAGACCCTGTCTCAAAAAAAAAGTGACAGAGACCTTCTTGGAGGCTTGACTGTACACTGTACACAAGGGTTTGCAGGACTGATAACTTTAAGGACACTGTGGCTGTACTTCCGGATCCCCCGCCTCAGAAAAGCTTGTCATTGTATTTCTTCCCCAGGGTTGGGACTTCCTAGCCAAGGAACAGGAGTTCTAGACCACACAGCTGATGGGTAAGCTTTTCGAAACTCATATTATTTAGCTTCATGCCCATATTTCCAGGGTACACAGACTCATGCACATGCTTGTAAATCAACATTGCTCTGTAGGAAAACTCATACACCAATAATTGTGTGTGCACACACACATGTAAATATGCACAGGTGAATACAAGTTCCAGACAACTCAAACTTGTGCTTGTAGTAGCTGCAGGTGGTTCTTGGCAATCTAGCCATAGCAACCACATTGTTTTCACTAATTGGTGGCACCACCTAGTGGTGACACTGTAAATAAATCCGTTTTGTATTCTGACCTGTCAAAAGTTACAGTATCTGATGGTTGTTTATAGGTCATAATTTGTACCCATGCATTTAAATCCTCTCTATTCCAAGTTCCTATTAAAATAGACAAAGAGGCAAAAGAGGGAAAAATCCTATTCCACACCAGAAATCAATAAAAAAAAATCAAATTACTGGCCCACAAACTTTAAGGAATTTCAACAAGATACAGTACAAATGGAGCCAAGCTGATGCGTGTATTGACTAAAGAAGGACATTCCTGGGAAATAATGGAGGATACACCCCAGGAAAGTGTCCCTATAGCCCCATAGTAGACAGCCAGGACTAGGAACAAGGCTGAGATGGGCGTAAGCAGGAAACAAATTGAGCAACCTTGGGAACTGCGAATGCCTACTCACAGAGAAGGTAGCCAAGGCTCAGTTCGTCTTTTGGTTTGCACAGAAAAGTAGGGACATTGGCCAGCAGGTTTCTAACCCAGGTGCTCGTGCCAGTTAGAGAAGGGGGGACATTCTTCCAGCCAACCTTGGACTACCTCAACAAATAGTGAAAAGAAGTTGCAGAGCAGAACAGCAAATTTCTCTCCTGTTCTCAGAAGCTCTCCCTGCCCTAATCATGGTCGATGGGATCTCCCAATCTAGAAAACTAAACTATAAATATTCCATTTTTCTTCTTTTCCCATTGCCTGGAACCAACATGTTTGAAAATGACCTACATATCTTTCAGAGGACCCATTTCAAATCTCAATTCCAAACATATGTAGATCTAGGTCCCTCCATAAAGTGAGCAAATATATAATAATATCTAGACATACAAAAAAAGATGTAAGTTATTATATCTTTATCATTAGGGTTACTAGACTCTAAGAAACAAAAACAGTAAAATTCCATAATTTATATTGTAAATACAATTCCAAAATCAGCCTATATATGAATATGGAAAATATGCAAAAACAGGAAATTTATTTTCCAGTTAAAAACCAAATCTGGAAAGATTGCTTTGAGAACCTTCCCTATAACTCAGAAATAAATAAATAAATAAATAAATAAATAAATAGATTAAAAGAGAGAGAAAGAAAAGAAAATTCCAGAAATCAAATATACCTATATAATAGGCATTCCAGAAATAGAGAATAGAGCCCATGGAGAAACAATCATGAAAGAAATATAAAGAAAATTTCCTGACTTGAAGAATTAACTCCTTAGATCAAAAAGTGACTTAGTACTCAGCAAACTATCTATCTACCTATCTATCTATTTAGAGACAGGGTCTCATTCTGTCACCCAGGCTGGAGTGCAGTGGCACAATCACAGTTGGCTCACTGCAGCCTCGACCTCCTGAGCTCAGGTGATCCTCCCACCTCAGCCTCTCAAGTAGCTGGGACTACAGGCGGATCCCATCATGCTGGCTAATTTTTTTTTAATTTTTTTGTGGAGACAGCGTTTTGCCATGTTGTCCAGACTGGTCTTGAACTCCTGGGTTCAAGCAATCCTCCCAACTTGGCCTCCAAAGTGCTGCGATTATAGGTGTGAGCCACCACACCCCGCTTAAGGAAACTATTTAAAGAGGCCAGATCATTTAGTTATATCCAGGTAAAATTTTAACATTAAAACAATAAAGAGAAACCAAATGGTATAACCATCACGGAAAACACTTTGAATTTTCATATAAAACCAAACACACTCTACCAGCTATTTACTGTTTCTAACTATTTACCAGCACTCACACTCCTTGGAATTTACCCAAATAAGCTGAAAACTTTTGTTCACACAGAAATCTGCATGTGGATGTTTATAGCAACTTTATTCATAATTGACAAAACTTGGAAGCAACTGAGATAGTGAATGGAAGCAGCAGGTGAACGGATAAATAAACTGTGGTACACCAGACAATGGAACAGCATTCAGCACTAAAAAGAAATGAACTCTCAAGTCTTGAAAAAACATGGAGGAAACTTAAATGCGTATTGCTAAGTGAGAGAAGCCAATCTGAAAAGGCTACATATGCGTGATTCCGTCTATTTAACATTCTGGAAAAGGCAAAACTACGGAGACAGTAGAAAGATCAGTGGTTGCCAGGGGCTGGAAGGAGGCAGGAGGTAGAGCGCAGGGAATTTTTTAAGGCAGTGAAACTATTCTATAAAACACTAGGATAGTGGATACATGTCATTTCGAAATTTGTCAAAATCCATAGAATGTACAACACCGAGTGAACCCTAATGTGAACGATGGCCTTTGGGTGATGATGTGTCAACATAGAGTAGATTACAGCAAATGTACCTCTGTGTTGTGGAACGCTGGTAATAGCGGAGGGGGGATTCATATGGGAAATCTCTGTAGCCTCCACTCAAGTTTCCTGTGAACCTAAAACTGCTCTAAAAAATAAAGTCTACTTTTTTAAAAAACAAAAGGAGTAAAGAAAATAATCCTACAAACCACAATAGGAGCTGTTTGAACTGTTTCAAAAAATAGAGACCCTTTTTTATTTTTTAAATTCATATAACTTACTTTATAAAACTAGCGTAACCTGATACCAAATATAAGAATCATATCACAAAAACAATACAAATCTCAGAATTTTTTTTTTTTTTTTTTTTTTTTTTAGACAGAATCTCGCTCTGTCATCTAGACTGGAGTGCAGTGTCATGATCTTGGCTTACTGCAACCTCCGCCTCCCGGGTTCAAGCGATTCTCCTGCCTCAGTCTCCTGAGTAGCTGGGACTACAGGCACATGCCCCCACACCTGGCTAATTTTTTGTATTTTTAGTAGAGATGGGGTTTCGCTGTGTTAACCAAGATGGTCTCCATCTCTTGACCTCGTGATCTTCCTGCCTCAGCTTCCCAAAGTGCTGGGATTACAGGTGTGAGCCTCCGCACCTGTCCCAAATCTCAGAATTCTAACAAACTTATGTTATATTCCTAGCAGAACATTGGGAGACGAATACTCCATAAAATAAATTTATTCTAGGAATGTGAGGGTAGTTTCATATTTTAAAAATATGTTGCAATTAATTATATTAATAGGTTAAAAAAGTAAAACCATATGATCATCTCAACAGATGTCAAAAAGTAGTTAATAAAATTCACTATGCATTCCTGATAAATACAGGGATACCTCATTTTTATTGTGCTTCCCAGATATTGCTTTCTTTTTTTTTTTTTTTTTTTTTTCCCCTTTTAACGTATTGAAGGTTTGGGCTGGGCTCAGTGACTCACGCTTGTAATCCCAGCATTTTGGGAGGCCCCGGTGATGGATCACTTGAGGTCAGGAGTTTGAGGCCAGCCTGTCCAACATGGTGAGGCC